TCCCCCCCGATAAAACCGAATTAAATCAAATTTTAAAGTTGTGTCTCTGTCAAATTGTTAAAAGATAAACCCCAAATAAAATCCTCCCTAGGTCAGGTCCGCTTGCTGGAAGAGCCATGTCTTGAGGGCGCGACGGAAAGCAAGAAGATCCGGAATCATCCGGATCTCGGGGGGTAGTTCGTTCCAGAGGGTAGGGGCATTCTACACCTGAATGAACTCATCAGACATGGTTGCCACATCCCACCAGCATCATTCCCTCTTCCCTGTAGTATTTAGAAAGTCATGATGGCTCTCCTTGTTTCCTTTTGTTTCTTTTGGTTGAAGCTTCTTATCTCACCTGATGCCTGACTTGTATTTGTAGGCTGAGATATGGCATGTATGCAAGATCTAACCTTGGGTTGGTCACCGGGACCAGAGGTTTACTCTTCCGAGCTTTCGAACTCATGCTGGAGCCCCCATCCTCCCTCTACCGGAAAATGTGCTTTGGGCTCAAGTTTCCTGAGGATGGGCTTCAGTAAATCTCTGATCCCGGTGACTGACCCAGATTGGATTTTGCAACATTATCCTGGGACACATATATTTGCCTCATTTTTGGTATGTATGTATGTATAAATTCATTATGCCCACGGGAAAAGCACTTTAGATACTGTTCTTTGTCTCTACACTTTATCTACTTCCTGTTCTTGACAGTTAGTCAAGTACATTGCATGGTGGGGAGGAAAGGGAGAGTTAAAGTGCTCATTGGGATTTGATATACAAAAAGTGCTGAAGTTGAATCAGCTGGATTCCAGACTGACAGTTCATGTTTTCCCACCCAGTGCATGTCTATAGAGATTCCACAATGCTGGACACACAACTCTCTGTTACAAGGATGAGAACTGTTCTTCTATTAATCAATTCTCAAAACTCCCTCAGGCCCTTTGCTCCTTGCAACCACCATACTAAAATTGCTCTCACTGGCACACAGATCCTCTTGAACACTCAGAGGTACTCATAATTATTTAGTAATGATTGTTCAGTACTTCGAAAATAAGGCATTCCTGGCTCGAGCTGCTGCTTAAAGTTTTAATGCATTAAAACTGTTTTGGGAAATATTCTGAATAATTTGGGAAGGGTAAAAGATGTGGTTAAGGAAAAGTTTGGTATTTGGAGGATAAAGTAACCAGTAATGTAACCCCACCTTTTCTATCTTTTGCTTTCATACCCATCCATCCAGTTGTTCTCTAGCTTACTTACAAACCTGCCCTTACGTATTACAGTGTGCCTAATTATGAAGGAGAGGACAGTGTACATCTGTAATAAATATTGGAGAATAGGGAAGTTAAATTTACATAGTTATCCTTAGATCACCTGGTTAGGTCAGGAAGAGAGTTAGCTTTTAAGGAAACCCATGTGTAGCTGTGGGTATATGGACCATTTTTGTTAAAAGAAAAAGAAAGAAAAACCTGACCACTTTGTCTATTTTCAAATATGACTTAACTGTTTTCCTTGGAAAGGACAAACATAAGTAATCTTTTGAAGAATTTTATCAGAGTGAAAATGCCTGATGAAGAATATTAAGGAGACTCTAGTGATTCCAATTCTCCCTATAGACCAGAGGTCCCCAACCTTTTGGGCACCAGGGACCAGTAACGTGGAGAGAGGTTTTTCCATGGACCGGAGGGGGCGTGGTTTTGTGTGCTGCCTGCATCCCGCAGATGGGGCGTTGCTTGTTTGTGCGGACTGGTTGCTGGCATGCCGTGGCCCAGTATCGGTCCATGGACCGGGAGTTGGGGACCCGTGCTATAGACCAAAGGATTTCCAATTCCAGAATGACAAAAAGTGTATATTACTAATATTAATAGCAGCAGTAACACTACTGTTTAGCTGTTCAATAGATAAATTGTCTTTTTCCAGCAGAGCAAGACGGCTTCCATAGGGATCCTCCTTCATTTTATCACCACAACCACAGTCCTGTGAGATAAGGGAGGGCTGAGAGCATGGGACAAGCCCCATCACTCAATAAGTTTCCATAGCTAAGCGTGGACTTGAACCAGGGTCTCTCTAACCCTAGTCAAGTACTTATCCGCTGTATCACACTGGTGATAATTCTGTAAAAGGATTCTTGCTTTCTTTTTCATCCCAAAGAAAAAAGTAAGCCAGCTGCTTGGAGTTCCACACATAATTTTTAGATTTGAATTCCATTCATACTAAAGAAGTTCTGCAAGACCTTCACTAGATACTGAAAATGCTGCATAAATCTCTTTGACCGTGATTCATCGTTGATCACGAGCGTTTCCACACAATGTTGTCAAATTCAGTAACTGCCAAGCTCAACTACACCCACCTGGGATATTTAACTTTTAGCTTGTTCAATTTCATGAGAATAACGTCATCAGCCCACGCCTCAATCTTTTCCTTTTTCAGTCGGATTAGCTCAACTCCATGACTGACCATGACGATGACACGACTGTCTTCCAGATTTACCTAAGACATACAAACAGTGCACACCTCTCAGCTTATATCGTGGATACAGTGATACAGTGGCCATATGTTCTTTATTCTAAAGAACATTCCTTTATTTCAGAAAGCCATCCTTTGGAGTTATTTTTTTCAAAAACTCAACTTTTGTCCTTTATTTAACTTTTAACATACAAAGAGTACCGTTTAATGCACAATCTGCAGGAATATTTGCTTCTAATAGCTTTTTATGCTTTTTAGATATTTTTATTAGAATATGTGTTTTGTAAAAAAAAATTCTTGGTTTTCCTCTTGAATCTTCTTTATAAAGCAAAGTTATAACATAAGCAATTAAACATTTTTATCCTTAGGAAGCTCTTTCAGACTTTCCCCTTTATTTTTTCCAAGAAAATATGGCCATTGTAATCTTGGAGCAACTTTTTAATGTTTCCAATGGTCCAATGGAATATTGGGCAGGGGGGGATTCCAGTGCTGCATTCAGACCATTTGATACATATCATTGAGATGGGAAGCAGGGCAAAAAGCCACTTCCATATAGATTCAGGTTTTTCACAAAATCTAACTTTAAATCTTTAAACGTATATTTTTTTTCTTGATATAAGGAAAGATGTGCAACAACTGGCATTGCAGTTGCTGAGTAAATACCAGCAGCTTCCTATCCCTCTATTCCTATTAGCAGAAAGGCTTTAATTATGTTGGGGTACTATAGAGCAAAATCTACAATCTAAATTTCTAAGAATTAGAATGAATTAATTAAGAATTAAGTGTGCCTAAAGTGGTCCTTTGTCACGAAGATGGTGTGACTGGAGACCAGAAGGTGGCTATACATATTTTCATTCTGGTTGAAACTATTGTTTTCTTTTCTCTCCCCCCCCCCCCCGCCATTGTGCTTGATCCTTGATCCCCTTGAATCAACTTGATTATTTTCTTTTATTATGTATGTTTTAATTTTTACTTTTTAAAAATGGAGTTCTAGTCATTGATCTTGATAAAGTCCTATACAGTATATACACACACAGAGACAGCCCACATATGGTTATCAAGTTATATAATTAATGAAGTAAAGGAAATACACTAGATCCAGTGGTGCGATTCAGATATGTGAACAACCAGTTCTCTGTGTGGATGCCGCTTCTGGAAATCCATTCTGGACATGGACAACAAAAAATTAGCTACCAGTTCTACCGAACTGGTGCAAACTGGCTGAATCCCACCACTGACTAGATCACACTTATTCAGGATTATTTTTGCTTTTTTCATGTTAACGTAGCATTGTATCTTTATTTATTACTATCCCCAAGTGCCAGCTTACAGATTTACTTACTATGTAATCTCCTTTATAGAATTGATCTAGTCGGATATATACAGCTGCAGCAACAGAATTTGGCATTTCTCCATAGGCTGTAGAGTGTGCAGATTTCTGTCTGAATACTCCTGATACAACGTTCTGCACCATCTCTTGTTCATCAGATGGTACCAGTTCCTGAAGGATGCTTGAATTTAAGCAAATAAACTTAGATATTAAATCTTGCTTGGTCGATGTAGGGTTTTACTCTCAAACAAAGACCAATACTTTCCCCTCTGAATTCAGAATAAGAACCAACATAAAACAAAAAACAAAAAAATGAACATCTTCAAAACAAGGCAGCCCCTGCTGTTATTTTCTTTCCCTATATCAGCCCTTGGAGGAAGACCAAATCAGGAAGCAAATTCTGCAGGAGAACCAGAATTCTACTTTATTTAGGTGGGTTCTAATACAAAATCCTGCAAGTCTGATTCTGCTTTTTCTCCTCTCTCTCTTATACCCCAGGAGGCAGGGAGGACCCAACCTGAGTCTCCTCTTAATGCACTCTCTATTCCCAAGATTTAAGGAATACATCTGTCCTCGGTTTCTGAAGATTTGCTTCAAGGCCATTTCTCTGCCTCTCTATATACTAACATTGAGATGAGTCTGAACCACAAATCTCACAGTCCCCAGCCAGCACATGTCATGTTGGACTGCCTCAGAACAGCAGGAGAGAAGCAACCTAGAACTAAGAAGAAATTTCCTGATGGTTAGAACAGTTAATGGAACAACTTGCATCCAGAAGTTGTAAATGCTCCAACACTTTCCCCTTTTCAAAGAAGAAGTTGGACAACCATTTGTCTGAAATGGTATAGGGTTTTCTGCCTGAGCAGGGGGTTAGACTAGAAAACCTCCAGTGTCCCTTCCAACTCTGTTATTCTGTTAATTTGCAGGGAGTCCAGTTAAGCAAAACTGCTTTATTACAGTCACCCTTTCCCACAGACTCTAGGTGGCTTACAAATACAAATATAAATCAGTAAAAATATATAACTTCATAAGCAGCCTGTACTAAAACAATCAAAGAGTAATAACTTAAACCAAGGGCCCCACAATTGCAGGCTGGGGAGCAAAGCCAGGTCTTAAGCACTTTTTGGAACCTCAGGGGGGAGGATGCTGTGCGCATCTCTGGGGAGATGCTGTTGCAGACAGTGAGGGTCCATGACAGAGAAGGCTTGCTTCCTCAGTCCCATAAAATGATATTTAGTAAAAGAGACCTGGAACACATCCACTTTGCCAGAATGTGCTGGGCAGGAAGAAACAGAGATAGGTGTTAATTGTTCCTTCAGGGTTGGTTTCTCAGTTCCCTTCGCTCACTTCCTGGCCATGTGAGCCTCCTCTAATCCAGAGCAAATCCAGAGAGGAGAAGGTGCAGCTTTTCAGTTATACTCTAAAGACTCCTTCAAGCAATGTGCAGGTAGCTAATGGGCTGTTATGACCTTGCAGGAGCAGTCTGTAGATAACACCTCATTTCTCATTGAAAGAAGCACAATTTTGTGAAAAGGAATAATATATTTTCAAATATAAACAAATTAAAATGAGAAAGAAGGGAAATACTGTGGACATAGTTTACTTAAACTTCAGTAAGGCATTTGACAAAGTATACCATAGTCTACTTCTTTGTAAGATAGAAAAATGTGGGATAGACAGCATCACCGCCAGGTGGATTCGGAACTGGCTGACCAGCCACACTCAATGTGTAGTCCTCAATGGAACTACCTCTAAATCAAGGGAAGCATGCAGTGGGTTCTCTCAAGGTTCTGTCTTAGTCCCAGTACTCTTCAACATCTTCATAAATGATTAAAAAGAGGATATAGAAGGGGAACATCAAATTTGCAGATCACACCAAGCTGGGGGAAATAGCCAACACTTTAGAAGATCGACTCAAGATATAGAAGGATCTTGAGAGACCTGAACACTTATTCAACAAAATGCAATTCAATGGTAAGAAAAGTAAGTCCTCCTTGGGCAAGAAAAGCCAAATGTACAAGTATAGAATAATAGAGGTTATTTGGCTCAATAGCAGTAACTGTGAGAGGAATTCTAATGGACAACCGTTTAAATATGAAGCAGCTGCCAAAAAAACCCCAATGCAGTCCTAGACTGCTTCAATAGAGGGATAATATCAGGATCACGTGAAGTGTTAATACCAGTTTATAATGCACTGGTAAGACTACAATTCGAATACTGTGTCCAGTTCTGGTCACAATATTAAAAAAATGTTGAGACTTTAAAAAGAGTGCAGAGAAGAACAACTATGATGATAAGGAGCCTGGATGCTAAATTATACAATGAACAGTGGCAAGAACTAGGTATGTCTAGTCTAACAAAGAGAACGACTGGGAGTAACATGATAGCAGTGTTCCAATATTTGAATGGCTGTCAATCCCCTCTTCTCAGGCTGTCACTTGAAGGTAGGACAAGGTATAATAGATGGAAGATTATTAAAGAAAGTTTCAGCCAAGAATTAAAGAGAAATTTCCTGACAGTGAGAACAATTAATCAGTGGAATGGCTTGCCTCCAGAAATTGTGGGTGCTCCATCAGTGGAGGTTTTCAAGAAGTGTCCAAAATGGTACAGGGTCTCCTGCTTGAGCAGGAGGTTGGACTAGAAGACCTCCAAGGTCCCTTTCAACTCTATTATTCTAATGTTCTATGCTCTATGTAAATAAAATGAGCATCCATAAAATCTTTTGTACCAAGGGTGCCAATCAACCCTGATATGACCATCAAGCTGATATGCTGCCAATGTTCCCATCTCCTGTTTCATTCTGGGTGGTGAGGATAGCAGGAGTGGGGGCTTGGTTGCAGAACATGTTTCCTAGGAATTTGACCCCCAGGTCCAAATTAAGATAATCCTGCCTTGGATCTCATCCATATAAGAAGAGAGTAAGGAAAAACATATCAAGCTTTCAAGATATTCTATAATTACAAAGTTCCAGGAGTCCTTGGGGTGTCTGTTTCCAAATCTAGCCTACTTCAAAGTGTTGATATCAATTTTGCATGCTTTAGTACTCTACTCAAAGATACATCTAATCATGCCTTTGATTGTGGAAATGCGCATCAGATCCTTGGGGGGGGGGAGTTGCCCACAGAACTTGCTAAAACATTTTTACAACATTAATAGCAAGTGAATGTATAAATAACAAACTAACGTAGCATTTGGGACTAGGCTTGCCCAAGCAAGAAACAGTCCCTTCAGTATTTCTTCACTTTCATGGGGTTTTGTTAAAAATGCTTGTACGAGCCCAGGATCAATTTCTCACTTTTACAAGTCATTGTGAATTTTTTGTGACATGTCGACCAGCAGAATTTCCTATAGATCGCTCCAGAGTGAATTTTGTTCCGAGCCAGCTGAAAGAAGGAACAGTCAAATGAGCTGTGCCAGTCACTGAAGGCAACACTTCTTTAACGGAAAATTACCAGAACTTTAGATAAAGACTTAGAACTGATGCTGTAGCTAGGAGAGCAACACTAAACCAAGAGGATGTATAGCCAAAGCTTGTATACTATAGTATAGATCTCTGATTCTGTTGCTGCTGTAAGTGCCACACCTGTGGAACTGTATGCCATGTGGCAAGCAAGTGCCCAAACTGGTCAAAAGTCTCGACTTCAGGAAACATGGCAGACTCTTCTCCCAGGAGTGTAACAGTGGTGCCCTCAAACAATTAAGCAGAGCTTAGACCTGTGGTGGCAAACCTATGGCACGCGTACCACAGGTGGCACACAGAGCCCTCTCTGTGGGCACGCGCGCCATCGCCCCAGTCCTAGACCTTCAGCTGGGTTTTATAAAACCTTTTCGCTTTAGGCCTCTGCCGCCGTGTGCAAAAAAATAAAAAGTTTCAATCAATTAATTTCAACTTCTCGCAGGGAAAAAAAAAGATCTCACAAAGTTGGAATTGATTGATTGAACTTTTTAGTCCCACCCAGTCTGCCGTTACCACCGCAGCCATGCCCACCCAATGGGCCACACCCACCCAATGGGCCACTCCCACCCGGCACCCGACGGTACATAAGTGGGTTTTGGGTTGCAATTTGGGCACTCGGTCTCTAAAAGGTTCGCCATCACTGGCTTAGACAATCAACAATAGGCAAATTATCCCTGTTACTCTTTGTACATCTCAGATATACAAATACAAGGCTCTGCTTTTTTTAGATTTAGATTCAGCAGCTAACTTCATAGATGAGGCCATAGTGCAGCAATTTAAATTGTCCACACTGTTTATCAGAGAAACCTATGTTTGTGGAAACTATTGATGGAAAATGGCTTGAGCTGGTCCTATTCTACAACACACAATATTTATTTATTTGTCTGATTGATTGATTTCTATAGCTGCCCATCTCAAGAAGCAACTCTGGGCAGGGTACATTATAAAACATTAAAACAATCAAGACAGCACAAAATAATATATATGATACCAAGTAAAACTGTTACTATGGATGGTAATATAGCCAGGCAACAAGGCTCTTAACACACTCAGGACTCCAGGCCCTCGGTGTCGGAATCATCCTGATATCTGAAGGGAGAATATTTCAGAAGGCAGGTCCCTACCAACCAATATTCCTTGGCTGATGGGATACCAACCTGCCTGACCAAATTTGATGGATAGAAATATCTGGGACCTGGCCCCAAGCCATGAAGGGCTTTAAAGGTGATAACCAGCACCTTGAATTGCATCCCAAAACACACTAGCAACCAATGCAACCCGTGAAGCATTGGTGTTACACATGTGGAATATCCAACACCCTTTACTACACATATACAGTAGCTGCATTCTGCACCAGTTGAAGCTTCCAAATGCTTTTCAAGGGCAGCCCCATGTAGAATACATAGCAGTGGTCCAGACAAGAGATGACTTTGCAACTGATAATAAATGATCATATAGAATTATTATCACTTGGCATCACAGCTTTCTCTTTCCCCACTCTGCTGGGCATTTATTGGCTGTAAACTCATGATCCAGATGTCCACTGGGAGCCAGAGGCTGTATCTTTTCCATCACAAAAGTGTCAATAGCAGAGTTGGAAAGGCTCCTGTTTTTTCCATTTAAATTTCTAGGATCGCCTTTTGAATTCCCTTCCTTAACAACAACAACAAAAAAAAAACAATCAACATGCTTAGGTTGCTGAAGTTTTTGGAGAGGATGGAACAAGTACATTACTTCCTCATGCAGTATGTAACTGTATTAAACATTTGAAACTGCAGCCCTGATTCCAGCTAAGGGACACTATTTCACATCTACTCAAGAGTTTGCCACTTTAAAAGTATTTTTGGTGGACAGTCTGAAGAAAAGATTCATACAATCTTTATCCTCACCTTTATCTGCATAGAGGTAATCTTTGGTTAACTACAGTAATACTAATACTAATACTACTACTTCTAATAATAATAATAATAATAATAATAATAATAATAATAATAATAATAATAATAATAATAATAATAATAATAATAATAATAATAATAATAATAATAATAATAATAATAATAAAGTTGGAAGGGACCTTGGAGGTCATGCAAGAATGAGAAGGAATGAAATAAATAATTTGGATCTGCTGAAACACAGTTCCAGTTTACCATCTTTTTCTTCAGCCAGTTTTTATTATTAACATAGCTTCCCTTGGTTCAATTGTTTTGGTTTTGAAGAAAAATGAATTCTAAATATTTAGAATAAAGCTGGGATGAGATTGAGGAAGAGGACAGGGCCCTTGGGACTGCAAGCTCAACCATTTGTTTATGATACCCATGTCCCTCCAGGCTTGTCAAGGCTGCTAGGGAGGTGCTATGTGATTGGATCCATGCAGCAGTGTCAGTCTCTTTGAGGGAAGGAGTGTTTCTGTCTGCCTTGAAGGAAGCACAGTGCACCTCCTCCTGAAAAAGCTACTGCTGGATCCAACAGTGTGGAAAATTTCTATCCTGTTTTCAATTCTCCTTTTTAAGAAGTGGTAGGGCTATAGCTCCAGATGGCCCTTTTGGAAACATCTTATCCAGAGTAGGGATGGAGCGGTGCTGCCATCCTCATTCTCCCTGATCTCTCAGTGGCTTTCAGTTGATCATGGTGTTCTTCTGGACCATCTGTAAGGATTAGGAGGGGGCAGCATGGTGTGGCAGTGCTTCTCTCCCTTTCTCTGTGGGCAGTACTGATAATAATGATAATAATAATGATAAAGTTGGAAGGGACCTTGGAGGTCATCTAGTCCAACCCCCTGCTCAGGCAGGAAACCCTACACCATTTCGGACAAATGGCTGTCCAGTCTTTTCTTAAAAACTTTCAGTGTTGGAGCATTCACCGCTTCTGGAGGCAGGTTGTTCCATTGGTTAATTGTTCTAACTGTCAGGAAGTTTCTCCTTAGTTCTTGGTTGCTTCTCTCCTTGATTAGTTTCCATCCGTTGCTTCTTGTCCTGCCCTCAGGCGCTTTGGAGAATAGCTTGACTCCCTCTTCTTTGTGGCAGCCCCTGAGATATTGGAACACTGCTATCATGTCTCCCCTCGTCCTTCTCTTCATTAAACTAGACATACCCAATTCCAGCAACCATTCCTCATATGTTTTAGCCTCCAGTCCCCTAATCATCTTTGTTGCTCTTCCCTGTACTCTTTCTAGAATCTCAGCATCTTTTTTACATCGTGGTGACCAAAACTGGATGCAGTTACCAAGGCATTGTAAAGTGGTATTAATACTTCACGTGATCTTGATTTTATCCCTCTGTTAATGCAGCCCAGCACTGAGTTGGCTTTTTTGTTAATGCAGCCCAGCACTGAGTTGGCTTTTTTGGCAGCTGCAGCACACTGCTGGCTCATATTTAAGTGATTGTCCACTAGGACTCCAAGATCCCTCTCACAGTTACTACTATTGAGCAAGGTTATCCCCTATACTATACCTGAACATTTGGTTTTTCTTGCCTAAATGTAGAACCTTACTTTTTTCACCACTGAATTTCATTTTGTTAGATAGCGCCCAGTGTTCAAGTCTGTCCAGGTCTTCCTGTAGCTTAAGCCTGTCTTCTGGAGGGTTGGCTATTCCTGCCAGCTTGGTGTCATCCGCAAATTTGATGAGTTCCCCATCTATCCCCTCGTCCAAATCGTTGATGAAGATGTTGAGGAGCAGAATGCAATAAGGTTTGTCTGGCATGATCTGTTTTTGACAAACCCATGTTGACTTTTAGTAGTGATTTTGTTTGCCTCTAGGTGTTCGCTGATTCGTTGTTTGATTATCTTTTCCAGAATCTTCCCAGGTATTGAGGTCAGGCTGATAGGTCTGTAATTTCCTGGATCCATTTTTTCCCCCTTTTTTGAAGATGGGAACTACATCAACTCTTTTCCAGTCCTCTGGTAGTTCCCCAGTGCTCCAAGATCTTTGAAAAATATAGTTCAGTGGTTCTGAGATTACATCTGCCAGTTCCTTCAGAACCTTGGGGTGTAATCCATCAGGTCCTGGTAATTTGAACTCGTCTAGGCTGGACAGGTGCTCACTTATCATTTTCTTGCCTATCTTAATTTGTGTTTCTATACTGTTTTTTATGGCACTATTTTTGATAGGTTGGTCTGTTTTTTCCCTTTGTGTAAAGACAGATGCAAAAAATGAGTTAAATAGTTCTGCTTTCTCCCTATTGCTTGTCACCTTCTTGCCATTTTCCCCCACTAATGGACCAATCATTTCCTTCACTTTTTTCTTGTTTTTTATGTGTTGAAAGAAGCTTTTTTTGTTATTTTTGACTTTGTTCACAAGCCTTAGTTCATTATGATTATGATAATTGGGACTGGGCTTTCCATTCACTATTGTGATCTGTCTTTTCTCAGCAGGACAACTGGATGAAAACTTCCTTCTTGCAGACCTTGTATGCAACAACTCAATACATTCCTCCATAGATATATCTCCTTTTCAGACCATCCATGGCTACCAGTCCTGCAAATTGCTTTCCCAAGCTCCAGTATCTGCTGTTCCTTGAGGCACAGACTCGCTGCAGGTGAGCCAGGCTACTTAGCTCCTCTTAAAGAAAAACTGCATTTGGCACAGGCAAGTGCACCACAGATGTATCCAGGCAAGAGCATGTCAGGATTGCAATGGAGGATTTGGTGTGGTTTTCCACTGGATTTTTACCTTCTGTCGTGTTGTAAAAGAAGCTGGACATAAAGTTTATTGATCCTTGCCAGTTACCTAGTAAATTAACCCAGCAGCCCTTGGTGTAAAAGTGCCTACTTTGATGAAAATTCTTTGGCAAATTGAAAAACTGGCCTCTCACAGTATTTCTATGATTCGTTTATCTTCTACACAACAGTATCAGAGCCTTATAGCCCCCAGTTCTTGATCACCAGCTTTTTCCTGATCTATCCTCTACCCTGCCCCCCCCTTCAATTTACCTGTATCATGCTTGGATACCATGGCAGCTTGTCCTGAGCAAGGCCCCAGACCTCCCAGGAATGAAAACTGACAGTGCCAACAAATATGCCATCTCTGGAAACCCAAGCAATGCTTTTCTCACCTTTTATCAGGCTTCTGCTCATTTATCACTACACTTTTACAACTCTTATTGGAGCGACAGATCTGCTTCTCATCTCTTTTATGGTTTTCACAGGATAAATTCTTTCTCTGTAAGTAATAGGTTTTCAGGTCCCTCAATTTGTGTCCAGAATAGGAGTTCCACATGCTGCTTTTGAATCTATCAACACAGGCAATCTCTAGAAAGTGGGGGGAAGGAGGGAGAGATATTCCAGAAGTTACTCAATCCAGGTCTATCCTTTGTTTTCATACCTGGGTATGCTTTTAAAGTCAGGAATTAAATTAGAACATTTTCACTTTTCTTGTTTCTTTGTTCTTACAGTGTTTTCATCCATGCAATACTATATTGCAATTCGGGCAGAACACAGAAAAGGCAAATAAATATGATAAGAATGAAGATTTGATAATAGTGCTGCCATGCAGTTGAAGCAAACTTCTGGGTAAAAAAGTTATTAAGGCCAAATGCTGATTCTGAAACATGAAAAAAGGGAATAGCTTTCAGTTGTGAATGATGGAAGTTTTTCTTGTTTTTGTCTCTCTATTCTCCAGTAAACTTTGAAAATGATAAACAAACAAAAACTGTTTTCAGGTTTTTTTTATCCCATTTCCTATTTCTTGCATTTTACCTCAGAATTTGCCCCACCCTCCCTTTCTCTCTATGATCAATGCCATGTATAGTATAGTATATTTTAAAGAAAGGCCCTACTCTGCTTATTCCTTTCCTTCTTCGTTTAGGTGGGCTTCCAGTATTCAAGTATTTTTTGTTTTGTTGTACCTTCTTTAACTAAATAGGACATTTTCTCTCTATCAACCACTATTTTATATAGACTTCCAGTGAAGACTTGGACAGCACCTGACATGCCCAGAGAATCTCCTCTCTCTGGACTATCATTTTTTCCAATTTAACAACAGAAGGAACAAGCTTCTTTTCATTTATTTGTTCCTTCTGGATTAGGGAGAGTCCCAGAATCATCCCTCAAAATCCTCCAATAACAGCAACAGTCTGCAAGCAGTTTTAGAAGCTGTGCTTCAAAATAGTTGGTGAGCTGAAGCTGGGGGGTGGGGCTGAAATCACTTTGTTGTTGGATAAAACAGCCATTTTGGAATTTACTTTTCAAACAGACAATAAGCTGTGCCCTTCGTTTCTTAATCAATTCATGAGACAATATCTCTACTAGTTAAAAGACGCTCTCTTTATTTACGGCTTATCACTCCTTTTTGAAGCTATCACCATCTTTGAGACTTCTTTATTGTTAAATGACAAGGAAATGGGTTGGTGGTGGCAGCTAAAATAAGGAAGCATGGAGTATTTTTACTTTTGAAATATAAGGATAAAAGTTGTGATCTTAATTAACTACTTTTAAAATAATCTATAACTCTGTATTGTTTTGTTGTGGTTGTTGAAATTTTCCAATTTTAATGAACTCTGATTGGCTAGAAAAATAGATAGATAGATAGATAGATAGATAGATAGATAGATAGATAGATAGATAGATAGATAACATTATTTGACCACTAGAGGAAGCTACAAAGATGTTTAACTCTGAGCTGGAGTCTGTCGTCAAAGAAATCTTTGAAAAGTCCATACAGAAAATCATTTATACCATAAATCTGATAGGGTCCAAAGATATTAATTATACAGAGGATGTTTAAAAAGAACAAAAGACACAATTAGGTGTAGAAAATCACTAACCCACTGTGTCAACTTTACAAATGCTGGACAATGCAAATAACTTAATTGTACCTCTGGAATATAAATCTGACACCAGCTTTTATTATGATGATGCAACTGAAACAAGAGTGCCAAGTAAATTTACAACTCCTAAGAGGTCAAGTTTGGGACTTTTTCTTCATGGATATTAAGAAGGCCGAGAATCCTTTGAAGAAAAAAAGATATGATAGA